CTAAACTAACCAGAAACAATGACAGCAAAATAGACCTACACAGCAGAGGGGTTGAGTAACCCACTAGGAAAAAACACAATACCTGCACAGAATATGGGAGAGGTATAGGGAGCCGACCCAGCCGCATGTAACATAAGGGAAAAGATGGCCGCTGTGCGCAGAACGCACCGCGGCTGCCTACAGTCTCCTCCCCCACCAATGGCCGGGGAGTGCGACCACACACGCGGCCGGCACTCCCTCGCACTAGCGGGAGATCGGGTCGGCAGATAAGCGCGGCCGCACACGCGGCCGCGAGGGGAAAGGGAAGGGAACCGGGGAGCACAGGGCTCCAGAGTAAACCTCCCCTGCTAGCCGCGAACCCTGTCTGGAAAAGGAATGGCAACACAGACAGGGGAAGCGGCGGGCAAACGCAGGGGAGGCAGAAGCTCAAAACAGAAAAGTTCACAAAGTTCACATAAATACATACATAAAATATGGCCAATAAAACATATAAAATGAAAAATACCAATCAGAAAAGTGATTATAGGAAAAACACAGGTAACATAACCCTAGCAAAACCCATCAATCATAACAATGTAGGAGAGAAAAAATTATACTTAGCTGGTCTGAGGACAGCAGCAAAGAAAGAGGAAGTGGAAGTACAAGGATAGAGATTTATGGACTGTTCCTAGAGACTGATTGGCTGCCCTGTTACTAGGCAGATATGGTTGTATATGTTATATATTGCTTATATTCTACATATTTTTCTCTTTCAGTTATATTTCTCTTTGCTGCTGAGGAATAAAGTAAGAAAGAGATAGCATAATAGGAGCCTCCGTGTCATTAATAAAATTCTAAATTTCTATATAAAGCTCTTGTGAACTAAAATTTATAAAGACCTGTCAACCACTAGACTAGGCTGGTTTGAGATATAGTCCAAATTAGCTGTTTAGCAAGTGGTGTCTTCCCTGTCCAATTAAATCAGTATGCAGTCATCACCACCTGCTCACATCAGCACCACCTGGTTATAGTTCCCCCCCTGTCTGCCAAAACAGCTGTGATGCGTCAAGACAAGGACTCCACAATACATTTGAACATGTCCTGTAGTATCTGGCACGAAGACATTAGCAGCAGATCCTTTAAAGTGGCCCTGTCATGCCGACCTTACCTTTCCCCAATCGCTTCCTCTTCTCTCTCTCTTTCAGGATCTGTTCTTCATTTCTTTCTTTCTGCTCTAGTTTTCTTTAAAACATAAGACAAAGTAGGTACTATTTTGTCTTATATATTTTTCCTACACTTGACCAGCTTTGACCAAGGGGAGGAGTAAAGTCCCCTCCATTTCCTGTGGTCAAAGCAATTTTCCCACAATTCTCACCTTCCTCCTGCTGCTTCATTTGGCTTTCAAACGCCGGTGAAACTATCGAATTTCATCCTAACAGAATGAGAACAGTTTCTCCATTCGTGTTATGATGAAATTCGGGACTTTTTTGGGGGTTGGAATTTCATTCGAATGAATGAAACTCTGATCCTAGTCGTGCCACGAGTAAATAGCTCCCTAATATCCACGGTATTAGGGAGCTATCTACTAAAAGGCTGAAATACTTAAATTGGTCTTTCAGGCAAATTTATTAATACTAAGTAAAAATTACTTAGTATTAGTAATAAATCTGCCCCCACCTCACTATACCGTGAGTAGAGGCATGTCTATTAAACAATGAGCAGCCAGTGGCTGCTCACTGTTGTAAAAAAGACCCGCCACTACTTTAATAAAGTGCCCCTTAGTGGGGCACCTATATAAATAATTAACGAGGGGGACTTTTTTTTGACATTTCGTGCACCAAGAGTGGGGGCCACTAGACTAAACGAATGATTTTAGATTACTTTCTCAATTTATAATTTGGCATAATATTAGAAATTCCTGGTCAGTTTCTGACAGTTCACAATTTAAGACCAAAATCAGAATGATTGCTTTTTTATTTAAACATGATATCACGGACAGCCTTTCAAAAATCTCTTTATAGTTTTTAATGTAGATTATTTCATATTGAAATTATTTCAGGCAATTAGTTATTTGCACTACTAGAAAACAAAATGACATTACCACACAAAATTTAATGAATGCCACCAATTTTACAGGAAACATTTACATTCTTAGCTTTTTTCATTTATTTTCCATGGCTGGTGTATAGCAACGCATAGTAATGCATTAATATGCTATTTCTTTGTTGGTTAAGAGCATCTGGCCTTTAGCCCTTTTTCTTAACCTTGAACAAACAAAAGTGACCTTCAATTACAGATGTCACTTCTTTCATATTGCTAGCCAAATCACTACAGATAGCAATAGACTGGCATTAGATTGTAAGCTCACGGCTGTCTAACTAAACCCTTTGTATAAAAGAGCTTCAATGTCTAGGGCTCAGCTCACAGGCAAGGCCCTCTTTACTAGAGTTGAGCCAACCCAAACTGAAAAGTTTGGGTTCGTACCGAACATTAGGTTTTTTGACCCCGGTCCCGAACACGGACATATCACTGTATGTTCGGGTTGGAGTTCGGTGTTCGGCGATTTAATGGCACGTTTTGAAAGGCTGCAGGGCAGCCAATTAACAAGCGTTTGACTCGTGTGCCCTTAGAAGCCATTACAGCCATGCCTACTAATGGCATGGCTGTGATTAGCCAGTGCAGCATGTGACCCAGCCTCTATATATAAGCTAGAGTCGTGTAGTGCCGCATGCACACGCGGTCTTATTAGAGTAGGCAGAGATGCTGCCGCTGATAGGGACAGCTTAGTAAAGAATTCTGCAAACAAGTACATTAGTGGGGTAGGGTGCACAGTGGTAAACATTCTTATTTTCTGGGTGCTAATCTGCTAAATAGTAAATTTTGGGGCCTGTTCTTCATATCTGAGAGTCAAATTGAAGCGTCTAATAGTGTGCTTTCTGCGCACTTGTAAACATTCTAATTGTTTTGCTGCTAATCTGCTAAATAGTACATTTTGTGGCCTGTTCTTCATATCTGAGAGTCAAATCGAAGTGTCTAATAGTGTGCTTACTGCACACTTGTAAACATTTTAATTGTTTTGCTGCTAATCTGCTAAATAGTGCATTTTGGGGCCTGCGGTGCACTTCATATCTGAGAGTCAAATAGAAGCGTCTAATACTGCGGTTACAGCGCAATTGTAAACATTTTAATTGTTTTGCTGCTAAACTGCTAAATAGTACATTTTGGGGTCTGTTCTTCATATCTGAGAGTCAAATAGAAGTGTCTAATAGTGTGCTTTCTGCGCACTTGTAAACATTCTAATTGTTTTGCTGCTAATCTGCTAAATAGTACATTTTGGGGCCTGTTCTTCATATCTGAGAGTCATATCGAAGCGTGTAATAGTGTGCTTTCTGCGCACTTGTAAACATTCTAATTGTTTTGCTGCTAATCTGCTAAATAGTACATTTTGGGGCCTGTTCTTCATATCTGAGAGTCATATCAAACCGTGTAATAGTGTGCTTTCTGCGCACTTGTAAACATTCTAATTGTTTTGCTGCTAAACTGCTAAATAGTACATTTTGGGGTCTCTTCTTCATATCTGAGAGTCAAATAGAAGTGTCTAATAGTGTGCTTTCTGCGCACTTGTAAACATTCTAATTGTTTTGCTGCTAATCTGCTAAATAGTACATTTTGGGGCCTGTTCTTCATATCTGAGAGTCATATCGAAGCGTGTAATAGTGTGCTTTCTGCGCACTTGTAAACATTCTAATTGTTTTGTTGCTAATCTGCTAAATAGTAAATTTTGGGGCCTGTTCTTCATATCTGAGAGTCAAATCGAAGTGTCTAATAGTGTGTTTTCTGCACACTTGTAAACATTTCTAATTGTTTTGCTGCTAATCTGCTAAATAGTACATTTTGGGGCCTGCGGTGCACTTCATATCTGAGAGTCAAATAGAAGCATCAAATAGTGCGCTTCCTGTACACTTGTAAACATTCTAATTGTTTTGCTGCTAATCTGCTAATCTTACATTGGAGTTTTAAAAAGTAAATTTTTTTCTTTCTTTTTTTTGGGGGGTGCTAAATAGTTTATTTGGGGTGTTCACTTCATATCTGAGAGTCAAATCGAAGCGTAACTTTGATTCAAATTTACTACATCGGTCACTTGTAATATTGTTTCACTCCTACAACACTTGTTACACAGATTTAAGCGATAGAAAACAGATTGATATTTTCTACACTAGAAACTACCAGATAACAAGCTTCTAACAAGCTGCTATATTTAAACCAGTGATCAAGTGATCAAGAGGTACTTCAACAATATTTTAATTCTGGGGCAATACCCTCACAAGTCAAACTGAGAGGTCAGTTTATAGGGAAAACTGTTGCCTGGAGGAAATTCTAAAACAATTTCCATATGTCCTTTGCAGACTTTACATGCTGGAAAAACACATGTGCCAACTGCTGTGGCTTTCTGCAGTGTGCATACCGGCAAGGAGGGCAGCGTTGAGGAGTGGGTGGAAGATGATGTGGAGGATGATGAGGTCCTAGACCCCACATGGAATTAAGGTCATGCGAGTGACGTGTCCAGTTTGGAGGAAGGGGCGCTGATCGCACAGAGGCACCAGCACAGCATAAGAGGGAGCAGGGTGCAAAAGCGGAGCAGCCATCCCCTAGCGCTCGACGGCATGTATTAGCTCGAGAATTACCAGTTATCCAAGTAATACATGTAGCGATCAAAGGATAATAGACTTGAGCAAACCCGAACTGCAAAGGACCCAGACACTGTCAGGATGTGACATTCACTGTAGCGCCTGTGCGCGCTTTTGGCGTTGTCACCCTGCTGCTGCTTGCCTGTCTGCACTGCAGCGTAACTTTGGCCTTCTCACTCACCGCCTCATGAGACTTTGCGAGCAGCAGCAGGCGATAGTGGAGTTTCAGCTGCAGCACGCACGGGTCAGTAGCTCTGCACCTTCCCTCCAATTGATCATAGTTAAAGGATTTCAAGTGGACTCATTACAATTACAGGGACTCTAAATTTGTCGTCACTACCTTCCCGCGTCGGGAGTGGGTCATTTGCGCGCCTGCTGCTTTCCTTGCATGTGGTAGCTGTTTCTCAGGGTCCCTGTACGGAATGGAACCCTGATTCCCCGTTACCCGTGGTCACCATGGCAGGCGCAGAAACTGGCATAGAAAGTTGATATGGATGACATCCGCATGCAAAGTCGTCGCCACGGGGATGTGCGATTTGCCCGAAGTTCTCTAGAGTCAACAAAGTTCCTGCGCAACTATAATGTCAACAGCTACTCTGCGGAACAGAGTTGTTTTTTTTATATGTCCCAATATTTTGGGGGCTACCCCAATTAAAATATATATATATATAAAAACAGTGTTGGCTACCTCATCCTCCTCCTCCACCGCCACGGTCACCGCCTCCTCAACCTATGGGTCACTTAGTATAAACTAGGTACACATTAGCAGAGGCTTGTGAAGGCCTTTTCTCCATGCATCAGGACTGCAAGAAATGCACCGCAGGCCGCAAATGTTTCTTTATTTGTATGTCTCAATATTTTGTGGGCTACCACAATAAAAAAAAAAAAAACACAAAATTTTTGAACAATGAAATAGAATACCCTGCACTCCAACCCTCTCTCAAATGGATAATTCTGTTGATCCTCCTGACAGCCATGATTTAGATTTTGATTTATGTTCTTCCAAAGCTAAATTCAAAGATTCCATCTAGTGCTATTTTATGGCTCAGTCGTATTCTAAATTTTTATGTTATTTTAAGTGATTTCCCTATCCACATTTGTTTGCAGGGCACTTGTCCTACTCTTACCCCCATTTTACTTCCTTTTGCAGCTCTCTAGCCCTTTCCAGGAGTTTTTAGAGGCATTTTTGTGGCCAAAAGTTCGGGTCAATGGGGTTCGGGTTCAGGGGCAAGTTTGGGGTCAAGTTCGAGCCCGAACCCAGACTTTTTTTCAAAGTTTGGCCGAGCCCGCCAGACCCGAACATCCAGGTGTCCGCTCAACTCTACTCTTTAACTTTTGTATTGGTCTGTGTATATTGTATGTTCTCCCCTATTTGTTCAGAACTGCAAAATAGGTTGGCGCTTTATAAATGCCAGTAGTAAATAATAAATACATAAATATCAATTTATTTAGTGTCGATGCAACTGGACATAAATGCATGTATATTTAACCAAATTAATAGGGCAGAGCAGTGCACATTTATTTAAACTTTTTTGAATTTTTGAGCTTAATCACTGTCATTACGGCCAATGTGTTAAATTTGTCTCATTTTGTTAATATTGTCTATGAAGTATTATTGTAAGTGATTTTTACTCTTTTTTTCTTAACAAATAATTTCTATGTATTTGGTAAAAAAAATGGTAAAGACAAAATTTAAATTGTGATTCTTTCTTCTGATCGCCTATTTTACTATTAAAAATACATTATAAAATAAAATAAAAATACAATTCAGAATTAGATAAGGGACAACACAGACAGCAATACAACAGTCAATGCACTTTGTAGCTTTTGGTCTAATTAGCTGTATTTTTTCATGTCCAGTTTTTTACAGTTTTTACAAAGAAATATTTTTTTTCATTGGACCCCTGACTCTTATGTCCCACCACCCCCATTTTTAAATTATTTCCTTTTAGTTGGTTACAATCTTTTTGTATATGTTCTTTTTTTTTCTTAATATCCTAACCTGTAGAGACCCATTATCACAACAAGCTGTGGTGGTGATAATGCTTGGAATAACCCATTAAAAATATTATAATCTGTGTGATTTATAAATGCCTTTTTGAGGAATGATTGAATTTGTGTATGCTTCATATGATTATGATACACAGGGAGTACAGTTTGTCCATTTCATTTATACTATAGACACACTAAGGCTTTCTGGCATCCTATTATACCATTATGCAAATGCAGTTTATGGCGATAATTTATGGTAAAAGGTGTATAAAGTACAGTCTTGCTCTCTTGAGAAGAGTATAATCCATATGTTATGTAACAATAAATCACATATCTGTAGGACATTTCAATATGTTCTCCGATATATTAGATACAAATTTATGAACATTAAGCAAAAGGTTAAGGGTGAGATACAATGAATAAATGACACACATACATGTAATACTACTGTTTTGTTTATGTAAATGTTTAATTCACATTAACAACATTAAGAAAGAAAAGCATACAGAGCTCTACTGGCACAGTACAAATTCATTTTCAATTTTAACTCCTTGATGAAAAAAACTTTATATTTTATAAATGCACACTGCAAACTGAATCTTGTCGCCTGGTGGTACTTTAAACACTTCATTTTAATTTAGAATTAAATGTATACTAAACAATAGCTATGGAATGAAATCTTGTCTAACATTTGTCTAACATTTGCATTCACATTCTTGGAGACAGGCAGCATGTGGCGATGAGGAAGCGCTGATCTTGCTGTTCTTCACTCATCTCTTGCGCGCCCTTTGTGATGCCGGAAGCCGGAATATGACCCCAGGGAGAGGTTGGGAGGCTGGATGGGACTCAAGTACAATTCATTTGTGAGAGTTTGCAAGAATGTGTGAGTTTGTCTGTGACTGAATGTGTGTGTCTGTCAGTGAGTATATCTGTCAGTGAGTGTCAGTCTGTGAGTGAGTGAGTGTCTGTCAGTCAGCGTGTGTGAGTGTCAATGAGTGTGTGTGTGATTGTCAATGTGTGTCTGTGTCTGTCAGTGAGTGTGTGTGTCTGTCTGTCTGTCAATGAGTGTGTGTGTGTGTATGTCTGTCAATGAGTGTGTGTCTTTCGGTGAGTGTGTGTGTATGTCTGTCAGTCTGTGTCAGTGACAGTTTGTGAAGCTACTCACCGAGGTTAAAATATTATTTCTGTCAGCCATCCTCAAGCTATACAGCTAATGGGCACTGTCCAAGAGTATATATGAATAGCAATCCTGCTGAAAACAAGACCACTACCTTTCTCAATCACTGCAGGCATTGGGGATTGCAGCAAAGGTGTTTCTTTGAGTTAGTGAGTGTCAGTGCATATGTGTGTCTGTCAGTGTGTTTGTCTGTCAGTGAGTGTGTGTGTCTGTGAGTATGTTTGTCTGTCACTGTGTGTGTGTGTTTGTGTGTGTTTGTGTGTTTGTGTGTGTGTGTGTGAGACTATGTGTGCCAGTGATTGTGTTTCAAATCAGTGAGACTGAATGTATGTCATTGATAGTGTAGGTAAGCAACAAATGGCAGCACTCCAGGACGTCATTAAGAGTGTGTCTGCCAGTGTGCATCTCTCAGTGAGAGTGTGTGACTGTCAGTGTGTATCTGATTATAAAAATGAGGGGGGCTTAGAAAGATGCATGTGAGGGCATTTGGTAGTAAGATAACCACGCCCACATGGTGGCATCAAAAATATTTCTGAACCTAGGCGCCTGTGACCCTAGAATCAGCCTTGCTATACAGAGAGACAATCCACCATTGAATTTTTGTTTCTTCCTTTTTTCCTTTCATATACATCTACTGGAAGAGCAATTATCCACATACTGTTATCTATTGTCTATTCTTTAGCCAGGAATAGAGACCCTTGGCAGGATTGTTGTTGCTACATATCTATGGAACTGAACTAGCACTTGATCCATTGTTTGGATTAATATGATGTGAAGAGCACACTGGCCCAATTCCCAGGTAACTGGGCAAACCATTTATCAATGCTTGTTTTGTGGTGCCACATCCATCACCATATACTGGCTGAGAGTTTCAACTGAACGCTCTCAACCAATGAAATTTGCACAGAATTGACATTTGCCAGCTTGGGGGCTGATGACTCCCGAGGGATGCTGCTGAGCTAGAGTTACAACCCTGACAGTATTTCTGTATGAACATACAGACAACTAGCACAATGATCACATGAAATCACTGACATTTTTCATCAGTCAGTAACTGCTAACAGGGTTAAAATTGTAAATGTTTCTAGCTGCAGCACAGCAACATTGTACTTATTTTTAGAGTAGGTCACATGGTTGGGTGTGCAGACGGATGTACAAAAAAACTAAGGTTTTTGGCGCCAATAACACACAATCATCAGATCCATTTAGCATAAAGCAAATTAAAATATGTTTTAAAAAAACCATTCCTGTAAACCAGTTTAAATAAACAGTACTTTGTGATATCACAGTACAACACCAAATAGTAAAAAAAGCACAAAAAACCCGATATATTTTATAATTTATTCATGATTAGTTTTATAGTGTCTTTCAATGTCTCAAATCAATGGTTTTATACAAAAATATAAAGAAATGATGTGTGTATGTAAAAAAAATAAATAAAAGGAAACACAATAGTGTAACCCATGATTTAAATAGTTATACAAACACTTGTATGATACTCACAAGATTCCTTTCATATAATGCTCAGTTAAGAATGAATTAAGAGTTGCCATCCTGTGTGTTTGCGGTCCCCGTCTTTACCATTTACTTAGCATTCTTTTATGTTAATGCTTAGATCAAGAGTTAAAGGGGAAACGATTTAGCTAGTTTCATGCATTATTTCTGCTGTGTCCTGTGTTCACTTCACACAGGGTTTGCTAATGAGTGGTGGGAAAATTAAATAGTAAAATTGATGATATTTTCACCACTGGTATTTCTTTCACACTGTGGAGTTACAAATTCTGGCCCCAGGATACAAAGTCACACTGAGCAATCAGCCATTATGAAATTGTTGTCCAAATTATATTATATTAATCATTGTTAACTCAAATATGTTTACTCATTTTAAGTAAGTAAAATCAACCCTATTGTGTCCTTGGAATTCATCATTACAATGTGGTGTGGAAAAGCAATTTAAAAAATAAAAGGATCGAGGAAGAAGAAATATCATGTTTTAACTAATATGTCATTATGATTTTTCTCCTATTATGGATTCCCCTTAATAATTCTCTGTGTTTTGTAAACATTTCTGAATCCCATACTCTTCACAACAGAAACAGGCAGGTTAAATGGCTTTTTGATAGAATCATTCAGCATACTATCAAAGTCTTGCTCCCTCAATAGGATTATGGTGCATGAGGATGCTATTAGTTTGTCATGGGTTTTATGGTGGGAATAAATATTCAATGTTTAATTAATATTTAAAGTAACTAAGTAATTGATTAAATTCTTACCTCAATGATGCCAATGTTATGTATGTAAAGGGTTACTAACTCCAACCAAAAAAACATTTTTCTCCCATTGTTCTTCCTGCAGATGTAGCTACCCCTCACCAGGGTATGAGTGTTAGGATCCCTGGGGTAAAGCCCTAACAGCTGTAGTCTGTACTTCAGGATTTCCATACTGCACATCAGAACTACAGGCCTGGAGAATTGACTCAGAAACAACACCACTGTGAGGTGCAAAACTATTCTGAGTTTACTGGAATAAACATCAAAATGGCGGACGAA